GCTTCCACTCCTGCTGTATCAATGTACACAAGTTGTTCATCACCCCCCCAGTTATTTTGCTGCAGCCGGACTGCGGCATGAGTTCAAACCCCAGTACCCGCCCCCCCCAAAAAAAAAGGAAAGAAAAAGAAAATCCATACATGGCTAAAGCCCACCCTGACAGCAACATGTGCACGTGCAGGTGTGTGTGTGTGTATACAGGTTCTTTGCTGAAAAATATCCACACAATTCCTGACACTTAACCAGAATTTAATAAATACTAGTCACCAATGGTATTAGTTAGCTCTTCTTTTCCAAAGACAAAGGAGCTATTAGAAAGTGATATTAACCATCTATTATGGTATGATCCAGAATCTACTATGTATCGGGTATTCTACAACTGATATCTCACTAAACCCACATAAAACCCTGCTATAATCTCCACTGTTTAGGTAAAGATCCTAAAGTTCAAAGAGAGACTCTGTTCTGTCCATATTCCCACAGCTCATACTCGACCAAGCCAGTATTCAAGTCCCGGCCCACATGCCATCAAGCCCAGGTCCTTTCCTCTGTGACACATTCCACCATGCGGCCAGCGCAATGGTTTCATTAATGAGGTTCTTGGCATAAAAGTTAGCTAGCAGAGATCGAAATAAAACACACAGACTCAGTTACCTTATTTCTATGACCAGGTCCGAGACGGCTCCCCTCTCTGGTTCCCACCTCTAACCGCCCGGCAAGGCAGCAAGGATTACTCAGGGCTAGCAGGAGAGAGAGAGCAAGCGTGCCAGGGAGTAGCCTTTTATTGGGGAACAAGAAATTCAGGGGAGAATTCCATCCAATGAAGGTTGGGGGGGGACCACACTCCAAGGTCAGGGTCAGTGATTGGGCCCCCGGGGTCAGTGGTCAGTCACACCCCCACACAGATGGGTTCTCTCATCAGGAGAGGGCCGGGAAAGTTCCCACACAGCCAGAACGCCTCAGACCCAAACAGGGAGTCGCCCAGTCACGTGTGAGAATGGCTCCCCACATATCCCCCCTTTCTTTTCTTAACAATGAGGCGGCGGTTCACTCTCTGGAGTTTCTGTATTCTTGTTCCAAAGACTCGCCATCCTATGATTACAACGCAAAAGAGAATTAACAGCAAAGAGAATAATCCAATAATGTACCAAGCGGAGAATATTTCTAGGGTTGAATCCATTCAACTCCTTTAATATTTGGTTAGCCAAAGAAGAAGGATCCGAAAAATCAGCTCTATTATTTTGGATGTCTTGGATATGGTGATGAAGTTCCAGAATATCCAAGCTATTATTACTATTTTGCCAAATACCTAACAAATGGTTTTTAACCTTCTCCCAATCCCAGAGAGAAGCATTGTACTTGGCAGCTGTAACACACACATACTTATAATTAGCATGGCATTTAAGCCTTTCTTTAAATTTTAAGGCTGAAAGTTCATTACCTATGTCTATAACAGTCGCCTCTAAGGCGTTTAATTTAGTTTCAATCCTTTCATCAATATTTACTTGATTACGCAGAGCCTTGGAAGTATTTTGAGCTAAATTATTAAGAAATTTTGCATGCTGAATATTCTGAGACAATGTCAGAGACGCAGAGATAATTGGGGCAATAAAAGAGACTAGAGCCAAAACACCAACAATTATAACTCCAATAGCACGTTTAGGTGTTGCTAACTGGGCATGAATTTGCTGTAAGACTTGAAAACCAGTATCAGCATACCATGGCTCTGAAATATTTGCAGGTAATAAAACGAAAGAGGGCTGATGAAGTATCAGCACTCCTTTTCCTCCATTATACCTAGTAATACAAATGGTTAGGTTACATTTATTACAAGTAACAATATATCTGTCATCTATCCATTTAACTTTTACATTTCCAATAATTAAAACATAAGGAGATTGGACACAGGCTTGTAAGCCATAGCAAGATCCCTCTTTATAGTTCTTGCCGACAAATTTTGTTAAAGGTTTATCTGTAAAATGTAAGAATTCTGAGGCAGCAATTAAACTTCAAACATCCTTTTGAACACCTCCTTCACTATAAGTCAAAATATTACTAACAAATCCTGCAGGTGTCATAGCAGAATTTCTTCGTAATTGTCTCTTATCAATTTTTGGAGACCAGTCTAAAATATACCCACTATCTTTAGACACCTTATGTTGTATGGGAAGGGTATTTAAACAATCCATCCATCTAGGAAAGGTGCCAATTTCAATTGTAGAACTATTTGGACAGTGGGGTATCGGTGGAGGTTTTGCAGAAATGACTGGCTTGTCATGGGAAAGTCCCATCTTAATTACTGATCTAGTATAAGGTTTTAAGTCCCCATAAATAGAATTATTTGTCAGTCTAGGTCTACCAATCGCTGTCTTTTCTTCGAATGATACTTTCAGACAGCCAGCATGTTTATCGTGTGACCAACACAAAGGTAATCGGGCACTGTAGTCACATCTAGTCACATGATTGGGAGTAATATGAGTATCTGTAAATCCTCCCATCATGAATGAGCCATTAGTAAATACTGGAATAGATTCTCCAGTCCACACAGCTGGGTGTACCAGGGGTGGATCTGGGAAATATGTCCAGTAAGTGTCTACTTGATTCCCCTTTACCTGACAGCCCAGCAGGGCAATTACTGTTGCTACCATCATCCTGGGGTCCTGTTCTCTCCTAGGTGTCAAAGTATTCAGGAAGCCTGGGTTGTTAGCTTCTTCACGTCTTCCCATGAAATCAGCTTTTCAGCTGGTTCAATCTGGTCTTTCTTCATCCTTTTCCGATATCTCCTCCTTCTGGGTAGGGGCTCCTCCGGGTCGATCCTCAGTCACTTGAATCTGGGCTCTATCTCCTCCATGTCTGATAGCACGTTCAGGCACCCAGATAGGACAAAAAGCACCTTCTGGGAAGATACAAGCATGACCTCTGCCCCACATCATCACTGGATCTGGGCCTTTCCACTGACCAGTCTGTAAATCTTTCCACAAAACTCTGCCTAAAGGGCCTGTTACTGAGGGACACATTTGCCTCTCAGCAGCCGTGTGGCCTTCTGCGTCACAGTTTAAAAAATCTAAAACAAACAAGGCATGATTAAGGCTATTTTGGGGAGTCACAACTCTATTCCCCCCCTTTAATTTTTGTAATTGAAGCTTAATAGATAAATGAGCTCGTTCCACAAATGGCTTGACCTTGGGGGTTATAAGGAATTGCTGTTTTATGATTAATTTTAAGCTCTTGGCAAAATTGTTGAAAAGAAGAGCTTACATAAGCTGGAGCATTATCTGTTTTAATCTGCATAGGGCACCCTAAAATGGAAAAAGCTGCTAAGCAATGAGAAATTACATGTTGAG